TTTTTTTTTTTTTTTTTTTGCAGAAGCTTGCTTCGCAAGAGATTCACACAGGAAGTTGGTTAAATAAATTTGATTCCATAGAGAAAATGCCCACAGATTGTCTCTAGAAGTAAAAAAGCTGGTTTAATTATCTAGTCAGCGACAGCTTCTAAGATGTAGATAAGTAATTGTGATTTAAAACCGCGCATGAGCAGGTTTCTGTAGAGACACGGTTGGGCACAATATGTGTGGAGAATTGGGTTAATATGTGTCTCAGAGTAAGCAGTGTTTAAAGAAAGGAAGAAAAAAAATGAGTAATCATGGCTATCTGCCCAGTCAGGCCTTACACAGTGTTGCATCACTCTGTGGCTCCACCCGCACACAGCTGGCGAGGCTCAGCGCTGCACCGAGGCCAGTCAGTGTGCTGGAACATCCTGTCAGCACACCGCTACCGCCATTGCTCTCTCTGTTTCTTGTTCTCAGAGGATGTGCTGGCAGACTCATTACCATTTCCTCTCGTTTCCCAAAAGCGAGACACTTTTAGTCAGTTTGATCAGATCTCTGAAAGTCTTGTGTAACGTTGTTGTTGTTATTATTATTATTATTATTTAACAATTGAATACTCTGCTATTAAATGCTAAATACTTTTTTTTTTTTGCTGAATAAAAGTATGAATTAAAAAATTTAAATTAATTAATTAAAAAAGATTTGACTGACCCCACATTTTTGAATGATAGTGTATGTTGCTTTTCTTGTAAAATAGTCGCTTTCCGTGACTGGGATTTTCTGGAAAAGTTCTGTTGGAGTGGGGAAAGTTGTGAACTCGTGGGGAAATTATCACAATCTCTACACCTTCAAACATGTAGGTTGTTGAAGTTCTCCCTGTTGAAAAAACCAGCATATGTTGGTGAGGTATGTTTTGACGCTGGGATGCTAGTTTAAGCTGGTCCTTTGCTGGTTTATGATGGTCCTTTGCTGGTTTAAACTGGTCCTTTGCTGGTTTATGCTGGTCATTTGCCAGCACATGACTAGCATAAACCAGCAAAAGGACCAGCAAAGGACCAGCTTAAACTAGCATCCCAGTGTCAAAACATACCTAACCAGCATATGCTGTTTTTTTCAACAGCTAGCAGCCCTTGATACCATCATGCACACGATCTGAGATTATGTGTGGTTTTGTTTTTAAAAGCTTGTAAATCTCTTTTGGGTGTGTCTAACTGTAGTGCAGTTTTGTGGTCATGAGGTGCAAAGTACACTGAAAGAGAAAAGCAAAAACACCTCTGTGCAGGTTTGTTTTGACTGAGAATTCGAAAGAACGTTAGCTACAACATTATAGCTATCTGCATAATATCAAATTGGTTGTACATTTGAAGTAACCAATCATTTGTGTAATATGTTTATATATTGTGTTTGAATTTTAATTTCAATCAACTCTTCTTTTTTTATATTTAACTTCTAAAATACACAATTTTAGCTTGTTTTCATAGAGAAAACAAGTGTGAACACTGATTTGGCACATATACTTGAAATCTTTAAACGTTCAAGACTAGTAATGACTCAATCGAAGTGTTTGTGGTTCAATTTGTGGTAAACATCAGCTGTTTAGCAGAGGTGGAGTCACGCAGGGAAAGGCTAATCTCACTCTCTCCTACACAAACAGAGAAGCAGGAAATGGCACAGTGTTTGTTACAGTGCCACTTTTCTTCCAGATGCCTATTCTGTTTGCTGCTGTTTTTTTCTAGCTTCAGGCTTATTCTATCTGCTTTTGCATAAGAACAAGTGGAATATAACACTAGATTGATGGATAAAGGCCTGTGCATTCAGTACTGACTGTACGGTTTGTTTGTTTGTGTGTGTGTGTTTTCAGATTGCAATGCACAAGTCCACAAAGGCTGCAGAGAGAGTCTTCCTGTTTGTGCCAAGGTCAAAATGAAGGTATTCCATTGTCTTTTATCTTGGTTCTCATATGACATATGTCATAAACAGTCAAACTTTTGCACATTTGATATGTTTCTTTGCTAGTTATTGTCAGTTTTATGACCAAAACTGTAGAAATAACACAAGTAATGGGGAAGTTTACTTACCACAAATTTAAGATTCTGTCAGTATTTACTCAAAAGTGGATTGAGTGGATCTTAAAAGTATGACATGAGTATAAATTAATGACAGAATTTTAATTTTTTTGTGAGCTCTTCTTTTAATATCATAATATGGATCTATGCAGATTAAAGACTCTTCAAATATTTCTTTCAGCAGCAAAAACAGCAGCAGACCGTTCCAGATTCTGCCTCGACGTCTGGTGTCACGCTTAGAAGTAAAAGTAAGGTCCTCATATAATCATGCATTTCTTCATGTTTTATGTATTTCTGCTTTATTTAAAAAATATGACTGTGTAATCTTGTTAATATGTTTAGCCCTGCCAGCACGGGATCGTCCATGGTCTGCCATCTCCATTCCCGATGATCAACCCGCTCCTCTCGCCCCTCCTCGGAAAAGCCCCAGCAGTATCATGTCTTTCAACAGCAACCCGCTGTCTAAGAGCATGTCCATTAATAACATTGCAGGGTCAGTGCCAATGCTAGCTGATAACATACAGATGTTTTTAGATTTACTATTGTAATTGCTTTAAAAATCACAGTTTTGCACCATTTTTTCAGTATCAAGATTTCTTCATTGTTTTTGTTTTTTATTCGTCGTCATAAAACAGATGAAAATTGTGGCCTTGATATTTTGATTTTGAGCTCACTACATTTTAAAATCAATAGGGCATTAAAACATGGAGTATATAATATATCTTATGCTCTTTGCACATTCAGACAAATGGAAGACCCTCCTCTAAAGAGCCTGAAGTTTCTGTCCCAATCGACCGACTCTCTTCACAAGACCAGTAAAGTCAGTGAGTCCACAGAATCTCTTACTGATGAGGGTAAGTCTCTTCATTTCATACTTGAATCATTACAAATAAAATATACACCTGTCTTGAGTCCAATCAAGTTAAGTTTTTTATTAATTATTTACAGTGTGGTTATTCATAATAATTCAATCATTCAATTGTTTACAATTGCAAATATATTTTTATTATTATATAGATTTATCTAGAAATTATTTTATATTAATTTAATTATTATTATACTTTTTTTTTTTTTAAGAAATACATTTTATGAATGGATTTTTTCCCCCTCCAAGGATTAAATTGGACAAAAGTTGACAGTAAATACATTTTTAACATTTACACAAGATTTAGATTTAAAATAAAGTTCTTTTGAACTTTCTTTTCACTAAAGAATCCTGAAATATGTAAAATCCCCCAAATATTAAGCATCTTAACTGTTTTCAACATTTGCCATTACATCACAAATTACAGTTTCAATAAAATAAAAATAAAAAACAGATATTTTAAATTACAGTAATTTCACATTTTTATTGTTTTTATTTTATTTTGTATTAAATAAATACAGCCTTTCATTAAATTACAAAAACATTAAAAGCCTTAGCATTGGTAATGTAGCTGATCTTTATGAATGATTGACATTCACTTTATATAAACGGAAACAAATGTATATAGTCTAGACAACAGCATCGTTCTAATCATTCTGTATGGCAGGTACAGAGATGATGGACAGTCAGTTGATGGGAGAGTTTGAAGCTGATGCCAAAGATCTGGAAGCAGATTCATGGAGTTTTACAGTGGATAAGAAATTCCTGAAACAGCTTAAAAAGGATGTTATCAAGAGGCAAGATGTCATCTATGGTAAGAGTCACACCAGACCCTCCCAAGAAGCTTCTGCTTTCACTTTCAGACTTTGTGAGAAGAAGTATTGAAACTCTTGAATGAGGTCACTGACACACTTGTAAGGTCATCTGATAAAGTTCCTGCCTCCTCTCATTATTAGAACTCATCCAGACAGAAATGCACCACGTGAGGACCTTGAAGATTATGGCTGATGTTTACAGTAAAGGGCTACTAAGAGAGGTTCAACTGGAGGTTCAGACTGTAGAGAAGATGTTCCCCATGTTAGATGATGTTCTGGACTTGCACACACAGTTCTTCTCACAGTTGCTCGAAAGGAAGAAAGAGTCAGGGAGCCAGGAAGAGGGTGGCTTTGTAATCCGAAAGATTGGTGATGTGCTGGTCTCTCAGGTAAGTTGTAGTTGTCAAACTTGTGATTGAACATTGAGAAGAGTCCCTCTAAATCTGTGGAAATGCATTGATTTGTAATATCTGGAACATTTAGTATAAGAAACATACCATTTTTTTCCACCATTTATTTCTCCCTAGTTCTCAGGTTCCAGTGCCGAGAGAATGAAGAAGGTCTATGGGAAGTTCTGCAGTAGACACAATGAAGCTGTGAACTTCTACAAGGAGCTTCACACCAAAGACAAACGTTTTCAAGCTTTCATCAAGGTAGCCATCTCATATTATTTTACCTTCATGAATTTCTCATAGAATGTTAGTTTGTAAAATTAGCCTAAAGCGTTTATTCTTTTCCTCCTTTTGTTTCCTGCTCAAGCCTGAAAATGGAACTGATCCTGTGTTTCACATCTGTTTCTGTTTTCCAGAAAAAGATGAGCAGCCCTGTTGTCCGACGGCTAAGCATTTCTGAGTGTATATTGTTAGTCACACAACGAATAACAAAGTATCCTGTCTTACTACAGAGAATACTGCAGCACACGAAAGGTATGATTAGTTACTATACTCGTCAGGCTATTTTAATACCCTTGAACTCATCTGTAGTGCTCCAGGTAATATTCTAAAGTATTTCATGACAGAAAATGAAGACGACCATGCAGATGTAACCCAAGGTCTGAAGTTGGTGAAGGAGGTGATTGCTGCCGTGGACAATAAAGTGAATGAGCATGAGAAGAAAAAGAGGCTAAAGGTAGTGTACAGCCGGACGGACAGCAAGTCCATCATGAGGATGAAAAGTGGGCAAATGTTTGCCAGAGAGGATCTGCTACGTGGGCAGAAGTTAATTCACGATGGGCCACTACAGCTCAAGAACTCTGCGGGCAGACTCAAGGGTGAGAACCAGTGCAATGGGTTCATTGCTGAATGAATATATCAGCAGATAAAAAGAAGCTGAAAACATTTTTCAGAACCCCTTAGCAACCACATAGAAAAACCACCCACAACACACTAGCAACTACATAACAGCAACAATATAAAACCCACTCAGGAAACCTTAGCAACTGCATAGCACCAGACTGGCAACCACATGCAACACCCTAGCAACCAAGTAACAACGTGTAAGACACTTTAATAGGACACCTTATAGCAACACCCTGGCAACCACATAAAACAATGATGTGTAAAAGACACTCAGAACACTTTAACAGCCTTACAGCAAACACATACTAACACCCTGGCAACCACATAACAACAATTACATGTAAAAAACACTCCAAATGCCTTAATAACCTTATAGCAACTTCATATTAACACCCAGGCAACGACATGACATAACAATTACATGTAAAAGACACTCAGAATACCTTAACAACCTTATAGCAACTGCATAGCAACACCCTAGCATCCACATAACAACAACATGTAAAAAAGACTCTCAGAACACATTCCCAACCGCATAGCAACACCCTACCAACCACATAAAATGTGTAAAAGGCATTTAGAACACCTTAACAACCTTATAGCAACTGCATAGCAACACCCCGGCAACCACATAACAACAATTACATGTCAAAGACACTCATAATACCTTAGCAACCTTATAGCAACACCCTGGCAATCATATAACATGTAAAAAAAGACTCTCAGAACAAATTCCCAACTGCATAGCAACACCCTACCAACCACATAAAAACAACGTGTAAAAGACACTAAAAAGACTCACAACAACTTGACACCCACGTATCAACAGCAACATCCTCAGTAGCAAAACTACTCCGAATTCCTTACCAACCACATAACAAAATCCTAGCACTCACTCGCCACAGATTAGCAACCACATAACAGCAACAACATGCTCAAATCATTTAGAACACCTTAACCACATGACAACACCCTAGCAACCACCCACAGCAGTTTAGCAACAGCAGAACAAAAGCAACAAGCTGAACAAAATAGCATCTGCAGAACAGCGCCATGGAAGCCATCCACATTTTAAAATTGTGGTGTGATTTTTGCCTCTCACATTTAATTCAGAAAATGTAATACGCTAGTTTCACATTTCAAAATACAGTGCATCGATAAACAGCCTTGACATTTCGCCGACAAAACAAAGTCATGTCTATCACCATAGCAACATACACCCACACTAACAGAAACAGGGCCTGCTTTTTCATCTATCTGATGTGTTCTTCTCCAGATGTCCAGGCTTTGCTGCTGAGGGACGTGATTGTGTTCCTACAGGAGAAAGATCAGAAATATATTTTCGCATCCTTGGTATGTTTATCATTAAACCTCTGCCTGTGACTCCCCTGAACAGTGTTCATCAATAATGTTTACTTTACACTTTCTTGTTTGGATGCTGGAATCCAGTATTGTGTAATGTCTCTGGCACTCTATCAGCGCTGGTTTTCATAGGAACATTGGCATATTAAGTTCTTTGGCGCTTTCTAATTGTGTGTCTTCGCCCCATTATTTTCTAGTCCCATCTCATCTTCTTGTTCTCCACTCTCAGGACCAGCGCTCCACTGTCATCTCCCTGCTGAAACTCATCGTGAGGGAAGTAGCCAATGAGGAGAAAGGATTGTTCCTGATAACGGCAGGCATTGAGAAGCCTGAGATGGTAGAAGTATACGCCAGCTCTAAGGAGGAGAGGAACACATGGATGCAGCTCATTCAGGAGGCCATGCAGTCAATGTGAGTCTCTGAATCTGTTTCTCATTTTATATACAGGAAGAAGGGATGCACAATATATCAATCGATAACCGATAACGTTTTTTTTTAGGCCAATATTGAATATTTAATTATACATCTAATTTTTGCTATTTTTACATTTAGATTAGCTTTACCGTCATCTTATGCTCACTTAAATTTAATTATTAAAAACTAAAAATAACACTGTAAATTGTAATCTTTAGCAAATGTTTATATATATATATCTACATTCCTTTTTTCTGTGTTTTTATTTTAAATTTATCTTGATAAAATAGTACAAATAATAATTCAAAATAAGCTTAACATAATTGAAAAAAGGTACTTTAAACATCACAATTTGTGAGAGCTGGTAGTCTTTCTTTACAGACTCTCGATTTCCTCCAGGGAGGGAGATGATGATGAAGGTGTGCCTAGTGAAAACGAAGAGGACCGAAGACTTCAAGAAATCAAAGTCTCGATAACCGATAACGTTTTTTTTTTAGGCCAATATTGAATATTTAATTATACATCTAATTTTTGCTATTTTTACATTTAGATTAGCTTTACCGTCATCTTATGCTCACTTAAATTTAATTATTAAAAACTAAAAATAACACTGTAAATTGTAATCTTTAGCAAATGTTTATATATATATATCTACATTCCTTTTTTCTGTGTTTTTATTTTAAATTTATCTTGATAAAATAGTACAAATAATAATTCAAAATAAGCTTAACATAATTGAAAAAAGGTACTTTAAACATCACAATTTGTGAGAGCTGGTAGTCTTTCTTTACAGACTCTCGATTTCCTCCAGGGAGGGAGATGATGATGAAGGTGTGCCTAGTGAAAACGAAGAGGACCGAAGACTTCAAGAAATCAAAGTCAAGGAGTTGAGAGGTACTGAATTCCATTTTTCCTTTTCTGGCTTAAAATGACTTAATTTGTGTGGGTGTGTGTGTGTGTGTGTGTGTGTGTGTGTGTGTGTGTGTGTGTGTGTGTGTGTGTGTGTAGATATGGTTTGGGTTTTGGGTTTAGAGAAAAAGTAAACACAGAAAATACAGTCTTAAGGTCTTTGCACACTGAGTCCGAAATTTCCGCACGTTAAAAAATAAATATGACCTAATACAAGTAAGCAATGTAATAATACTAATTGGTCAAATTAATAGAAGTAAAAATATAAGCATTTTCAATATGCTCAGACTTTTTCATATGAAAATAACAAAAATGCAATAAATGCTGAACAAAATTGCTTTATGATTTGTAGCTATTTGTTGACATTGAAATTATTTTTGACATTAAAATACAGATGGATGCTTAACATTGGTAGTTGTTGAGAAAACGGAGTATGGGAAAAATCACTGTTTTATTATAGCAAATAATAATACATTTTTGTTATTAACTTTTTATTATATTACAAAAGTAAACACAGAAAATACAGTCTTAAGGTCTTTGCACACTGAGTCCGAAATTTTCGCACGTTAAAAAATAAATATGACCTCACGTTGTCAATCACGTTTACACACTGCCTCTGAAACTTTTGTCCGTCATAAAAAAAAATTCAGACCAGGTTTGATTTTCTGTGTTTTCGCATCCGTAGCAAGCATTTTGATAGGAAAGGATGACAAATACGGCTTTTTCAAAATTTTTAAACACAGTAGTGACTAGAATGACTGAAAAAAACATGAAAATTAGATTTAAAAGGTGTATAAATGCTGCTAAAATGAAGTGAATCTTAGGTTTCTCGTCATGAAATAAACATCTGTCTTTACAGATCAGCTGCATAAGAGGGATGAGCAGATCTTGACTTTACTGGAGGAGAAAGTGAAGTTGTTCAGGGACATGTGCGACTGTGGCTTACCAGACGAGACCGGCCTTCGCAACCGAATGCTCTTCAGGGCCACACCCGATGACATCACCAAAGGAGAACCAATCATGAAGGAGGCTCTGAAGGAAGGTGAGGCAACCAGTACAGTTATATAATGCTTATTATATAAGTCAGAAAAACACTGTAGGAGTCTTACAAACATATGGCAGCTAGTAAACTTGATACATTGGGAATATATTTTTTATGAATATTGCAGTCTTAGAGGGCTAAGATTTAGAACATAATTTAGTTTTAAAATGACTCTATGAAGTGGAGGGTGTTAGCTACATGTTGCATCAGATCACAGTGCAGCTTGTGCGTATGGTCCCTGGCCAGTTACACAAGCTTTCCTAATCAGAATCACATTAAATATGTGAGTCACACAGTCTCAAAAAGACCTCAATACTGGCTGTGCTTGTAGCAGTTACTAGTTAAATGAATAAAGAAAATAATAAAGCGCAATAAGTGTTTTCAAATATGAATGATTTATTATTTAAAGCTCAAATATTTTTTGCTGTTGTAATACAGGTAAGCAATGTAATAATACTAATTGGTCAAATTAATAGAAGTAAAAATATAAGCATTTTCAATATGCTCAGACTTTTTCATATGAAAATAACAAATGCAATAAATGCTGAACAAAATTGCTTTATGATTTGTAGCTATTTGTTGACATTGAAATTATTTTTGACATTAAATGGATGGATGGATCCATACAGATGGATGCTTAACATTGGTAGTTGTTGAGAAAACGGAGTATGGGGAAAAATCACTATTTTATTATAGCAAATAATACATTTTTGTTGTTTTTTTTAAATATTTTTTTATCTTTTTTATTTTAAATTAATGTGCAAATACACAAGTAAGCCATTCTAGGTTTATTCCCCCAAATATTCTAAATGCTACGACTCTGTGGTGCTATCAAAACATTGCTGTTTGTTTTGTACGTCTGACCAGACTAGCATAGCGACAGTGACACAGCCAATGGCATGAGTTTGAGGGCGGGGCTGAGTGTTTACTGACCAATAGCAGTTGGGGGAGTGTTAGCGGAAACCTGTTTGAAAACAAAATTGCTGTTAGTGACAGAAAATACATGCTTTACCGATAAAGAAGAATTCATGCATGTGCTTTAACAAAAAACACAAACTTCTGTTTTTTAAATGCCTCTAAAACCATTGAAAGTGACAAAACAACAATTAGAATTAAGTAAGTGATATTCCGGAAAACAGCATTTTAGAGTGTACTTAGCGAGAAAGATCTTGAAAGTGCTGAGAAGATGCCTTGGCTTTGAATGTGGGAGTGATAGATAGTGCTTGTCACAGTTCATACAGCAAGTAGGAGTATTCATTAGAGGAACGTGGACATGGGCAGAATCGATACGTAAAGCTGATCTGAATCCACAGGACAGGAACAGATAATGGATTGCTTTAATTCTGCAGGTCAAGAATGGGAAAGAGTATTGATTACTGTCTCCTCTTAGCCTTTTGTGAGCTGTTGGTGTGTGTTTGATTTTTCTATAAACATCAGTTGTTCCTTATTGGGTGAATCTAACTAATTTTAAATCAAGTGTATTTTATTTTTAATATATAGTTTTCTGTTTCTTGATTTCGGAGTGAATTATGGCCTAGACATGTTTTTTGACATTTGATCTACCATTTAGTGTTTACCTGCATTTAAGGGGTCATATGACATTGCTAAAAAAATAATATTATTTGGTGTATTTGGTGTAATGAAAGGTTCAAAAAACACATTATTTTCCACATACTGTACATTATTGTTTCTTCTCTATGCCCCGCCTTTCTGAAATGCGTACATTTTTAGTTCTGAAAAGCGTACCATTTAGTGTTTACCTGCATTTAAGGGGTCATATGACATTGCTAAAAAAATTATATTATTTGGTGTATTTGGTGTAATGAAAGGTTCAAAAAACACATTATTTTCCACATACTGTACATTATTGTTTCTTCTCTATGCCCCGCCTTTCTGAAATGCGTACATTTTTAGTTCTGAAAAGCGAGGTGTGCTCTGATTGGCCAGCTATCCAGTGCGTTGTGATTGGCTGAATTCCTCAAGCGTGTGATGGAAATGTTACACCCCTTACCCTACTGTGATGCCGTGTCCCGATGCGACGAGACAAAACCAATAAAACCCATTACAAACGAGGCATTTGTTGCATCCAGTGGGGACATAATTACAAATTATAATGACTTATACTGTCTTTTTCCGCGTTGCATTGCATCGCACCGCGTTAACATAAAACCATGTCTGCATTTGTGATCAAAGAAATGACAAACAACAAGCGCTACTCTACACTGCTCAAAACTCGCATTTGAATTGTCAGTTGCAAATCCTTTAAATATGAAAACGTACTTACAGGCTGTGAGTCAGCATTATTTGTCAGCATACACGCCGAAGGGGAAACGGGAACTGAATTCACCGGAACACCGCCATTGTAGGCTACTCTCCCAGGAAACAGTCCTCGTCCTCCGTAAAATGCGCTGGACACATCTGAATATTTGGTTTGAACTGTTCTGGAACAGTGTTGTAAATGCAACTTAACCACTGATTTCTAGCTGTGTCCTCTTTTGGAAGACCAAACAAAGTAGTTTCGTTTTCACAACGAAACACACAACGTCTCCTCGACATGGCGACGGCGGCAACAATACTACAGCGAGAATCAAAGTTACGCCTTCTTTCTTTAAGTATACATTTGGGCGGCGTTATGCAAATCTTCCTACACAGTGACATAGACATGTGGGGGCGTGTTTAAACGAGGCATTTTAGGAGGGCGTGGACGAGTCAACTTTTATAAAGAATATCTCTTTGGGTTTGATACTTTAGTCTTTGTAACTTTAGGGATCTTCTCTATTCACGAACAGATTGTAACACTCCAAAGAGAAAGGAAATCGCATCATATGACCCCTTTAATTACTATATTCCATGTTTAATTTTTGTGTGTTCGTGTGTAGTTGAAACATTACAGGTTCTGGTAAACAACAGTCTAGGAGGAGCGGTGCAGGATGGCGTATGTGCGGCGGGGCCCGTGACTTTGCCACGACGGGCGGAAACCTTCGGAGGCTTTGATAGTCACCAGATGAACATCTCAAAGAGTAAAGGTGGGTGTGTTTTCCATGTGTGTGTGAACGTGGGAGTGTGCGTGAGAGCGAGATCATTTTGTGATGCGACTTGTGTGTGTGGGTGTTTGTTCCAGGTGAGACTGATTGTGTTTGTTCTCCTGCAGATGGAGACAGAGAGGAGACTGAAGACTCTGCAGAGCTCCGAAGGACTGAGTCAGACAGCGTTCTAAAGAAGGTACAAACCGGTCAAGACAGACAGCTTTCAGAAATTGTGTTTATCAGAAAGATCATGATGGGAAAAATGTTATTATTATTATTATTATTTTTTAGAGTAGGATTGCTGCATGAAAAAGACAAGAAAAAAAGTGAAAACAACATGGTTTAACCACGAGCTCAACAAAGCAATAACAAATTAAGGATACTTTCTTTATATATATATATATTTATTATTATTATTATTATTATTATTATTATTATTATTTTTATTTATTTATTTATTTATTTATTTTTTTTAATTTTTTTTACATAGATATTTTAAATTGGCACACTTTAAACAAATTAATATGCTATATATAGATAAAGTTAGTTTAAATTAGTGAAAAAGTCTCATTTCAATCGGTACATTGTGAAAAATAAGAAGTGTTGTGATGTTAAATGATTAGGAAATATTTAAGATTCTGCATTATTTCTAGACCCCAAAACAAATAAGCAAATTAAAATTATTGCAGATGACATAACTGTTCAGATTAATGAAAATATATTTTTTTAATTATTGGACTCTTCTATGTTGAATATTATGCATATAATTAAAAATAAAACTAAATAATGAAACTTAATATAATAAATGCATGTTACACATGCATATTTTATAAGTACATTATTATTTAAAAAAAGCTTTTGCTCACTCTTATTTCAAGTGCTGTTCTAAGATGTGTTCCCATTACCATCTGATTCATTACTCATCAGTGTATCACCATATGCTCAAACCATTAAGTGCTGAGCATCAGAATGAATGTCCGCTGTAGCACTCATTACCTGAAGTGAACTATAGGTTTACACACACGCTCATCGCAGAACATAACTGTATAGTAACTTGATAATAAGGACACATTAAAACTGTCCTCTGCTTTACGGCAGCAGAGTAATGCGACCTGTCATCACAGCTGATTATTTCCGGCAGGTCCTGCAGTACCCTGTCAAAGAGCACATGGATTGCTATTTATTGATTTATGTACAGTAGCCTCTTATCCAGTGCACTGACCATGTGACTGCCTCTCTGTCCCACAGGCAAACCACGCCAATCCCCTGCTCCTACTCAAGAGGAACAATGAGGTAAGATTTTCTGTTTAGAAACTGCTCAGGACAGGTTTGAAGATCATGCCAAAGGTGAATTGGTTTCAGTACCATGACCAGACAGCATAGCCATATATATACTTTATGATAAGATTCCTTCCCAAGCTTGTGGTTTTGTGATTAACACGTGTGCAACATGAGTTTGAGTTAGGGTTGCATTATTTTATGATCCTACCTAAATCAGTTATAATAATAAATACTGTTTCTTGCCAGAAGATTTTTTTTATTTTTTTTTATTGATTTTCAATGTAAACTTTTTAAAATGACACATTAAACATACACACACACATATATATATATATAATATGATATATGTAATGTATAATATATTTAAAAAATAGTATATATAATTATTATGCATCTAAAATGTCTGTATGTGACCATGGACCACAAAACCAGTCATAAGGTTCAATTTTTGAGATTTATACATCATATGAATAAATAAGCTTTCCATTGATGTATGGTTAGGAAAGGAACAAAATATCTTCATGGAACATGATCTGTGAATTGGTTTCAGTACCATGACCAGACAGCATAGCCATATATATACTTTATGATAAGATTCCTTCCCAAGCTTGTGGTTTTGTGATTAACACGTGTGCAACATGAGTTTGAGTTAGGGTTGCATTATTTTATGATCCTACCTAAATCAGTTATAATAATAAATACTGTTTCTTGCCAGAAGATTTTTTTTATTTTTTTTTATTGATTTTCAATGTAAACTTTTTAAAATGACACATTAAACATACACACACACACACACACACACATATATATATATATATATATAATATGATATATGTAATGTATAATATATTAAAAAAATAGTATATATAATTATTATGCATCTAAAATGTCTGTATGTGACCATGGACCACAAAACCAGTCATAAGGTTCAATTTTTGAGATTTATACATCATATGAATAAATAAGCTTTCCATTGATGTATGGTTAGGAAAGGAACAAAATATCTTCATGGAACATGATCTGTCCTTAATATCCTAATGATTTTCGGCATAAAAGAAAAATCAATAATTTTTACCCATACAATGTATTGTTGGCTATTGCTACAAATATGCCCGTGCTACTTATGACTGGTTTTGTACTCCAGGGTGTGTGTGTGTATATATATATATATACACACACACACACATATAAATACAAACCTGCATTTATTTAAAATTTTTAATTTAATTGTATAATTCATATGTACATATGAAAATATATATCAGCTTAAATATAGTAGTATTATATGTATTTTATATTGTATTAATAAAAACAAAGAGAACAACTGTTCTAGAATTATGTAAATGTATATAATATTAGCAATATAAAATTACAAATGTACTTGTATACTATTATAAATATTTTATATATGTAATTATGTATAGATTCAATTATTTATAAAAGTTTAAAATATAAAGTGACAAAAAAGTAGACTAGCGATCTGCATCTTAGCTTATAGATATGTGGCGATTTCATTTTCTCAATCCTTTTATCCTCCCACAGCAGGTTCTTCAGAGCGTCGCTCAGCTCCATGACCTGCTGAACACATTACAGGTGAGTCATTCTCTTTTTGTCTTATTTCTCGCTCTCTGCTGTTCAGACCAGCAGCTTTCATCTGCAGCACGACAGAAGGAAATGAAATGACCAAATGCAGGGGTTTATTTTGCAGGCTTGTAATCAAGCAGAGTGCATTATGATGTATTAAGATGCACTCTGATAGATTTGTACTACTATTAAAGGGATAGTTCACCCAAAAATGAAAATTCTGTCATCATTTCACTTTAAATGCAAATAAGCTGCATATTCCCACCATCTCCAGAAGAGGGTGTAGCGTATACATCTCCGCTTTGCATACCTACAGCCAGGGCCGTCCTTAGGGGGGTGCAACTGGTGCGGTCGCACCGGACCCCGCTTTGAACGGACCGAGGGGGACCCCCCCCTACCCCGGAACGCGATCGCAAACGGACTGAGGGGGGCCCCGCGTCAGCTAAGGACAGCCCTGCCTACAGCAATAAACAGTCAGTAGAAGCAACATGACCAGTGTTGCCAATTCCATGGTTTTGAATTGGAATTGGACTTTTTTTAACACGGTTTCCGTGGGTTATTTTTCATGTCCGCGGGTTGAAGCGACCCCAAAAACTTGATATTTAGCCCCTGAAATGCCAATTTTACCAGGGGGACCCTGCCAAAAAACCCAAATTTTACCCCCGGAATGCGATTTTTACTGGGGGACCCCCCTCAAAATGCGATTGGGCTAGTTTTGGGCAGCATTTGTGCGGGTTTTGTTGTGAAAACCTGTTAACCCTGAACATGACTGAGAGCGAGAAAACCGGTGTTCAGCCATACATAAGGGAAACCAAATACACTGAAAGTGGGACAAAATGGTGCGATCTTACAGAACTCGATGTTACAGGACACAAACTAATCTCACAAGTGCAGCGCAGATCAATTAACCCTAATAATTAACTATAATACTTTGATAACGTACGCACACAAATGCGGTGAAAACGCTAAGCACTATAACGACATGACATTCACAAAGGAGTCTGGAGTGAAATTACTTGCGCTGACATAAATGTACTTAGGTAGGTTTTGAGGGGCATTACCTTCAAAAATAGAAGTAATCCACTGCGTCCTCAATGGCTCAGATGTTGGGAGAAAATTAAGACACTTATGTTCAGTCTTACATCCAAACACAGAGCATAAACAGTGATAAAGGCATTGCATTATAAATATACTTTATTTTAATGAAAATTATAATAATAAGAACTCGGATAAACCGTATATTGCGACCCTGCTTTGAACGGACCGGGGGGGACCCCCCCCCACCCCGGAACGCAATCGGACTGAGGGGGGCCCCGCGTCAGCTAAGGACAGCCCTGCCTACAGCAATAAACAGTCAGTAGAAGCAACATGACCAGTGTTGCCAATTCCGTGGTTTTGAATTGGAATTGGACTTTTTTTTAACACGGTTTCCGTGGGTTATTTTTCATGTCCGCGGGTTGAAGCGACCCCAAAAACTTGATATTTAGCCCCTGAAATGCCAATTTTACCAGGGGGACCCTGCCAAAAAACCCATATTTTACCCCCGGAATGCGATTTTTACTGGGGGACCCCCCTCAAAATGCGATTGGGCTAGTTTTGGGCAGCATTTGTGCGGGTTTTGTTGTGAAAACCTGGCAACCCTGAACATGACTGAGAGCGAGAAAACCGGTGTTCAGCCATACATAAGGGAAACCAAATACACTGAAAGTGGGACAAAATGGTGCGATCTTATAGAACTCGATGTTACAGGGCACAAACTAATCTCACAAGTGCAGCGCAGATCAATTAACCCTAATAATTAACTATAATACTTTGATAATGTACGCACACAAATGCGGTGAAAACGCTAAGCACTATAACGACATGACATTCACAAAGGAGTCTGGAGTGAAATTACTTGCGCTGACATAAACGTACTTAGGTAGGTTTTGAGGGGCATTACCTTCAAAAATAGAAGTAATCCACTGCGTCCTCAGTGGCTCAGATGTTGGGAGAAAATGAAGACACTTATGTTCAGTCTTACATCCAAACACAGCATAAACAGTGATAAAGGCATTGCATTATAAATATACTTTATTTTAATGAAAATTATAATAATAAGAACTCGGATAAACCGTATATTGCGATGTCATATTGCTTAGAGAATCAAAACGGCAGGCCTAGTAAGACTAGGTGGTCTCTCAATATGGTTGTGTCCACACACTGCCAACACACATTTATGTCCAAACACCATGTAAAAGTGGATTTTGCATATTAGGTGCCCTTTAACAGAAAGCATTTATTTAAAATAGAAAGCGTTTGTAACATTATAAATGTCTTTACTGCCACTCTTGGTTACTTTAATGCATCCTTTCTGAATAAAAATATTTGAAAAAAAACCCCCTCCAAACTTTTGAGTGGTAGTGTATATTCCAAGTCTTCTGAATAGCTTTTTTTGTGAGGAACAAACTTAAATTTGAGTCATTATTCACTGAAAATCCTCCCTATATGTTACTTTAGCCTGTTCATGAAAGAAAGCGATATCTGATGCATAACAGAATCATTCCTGAGTCAGAAGACTTTGAAGCTTCAAAGCTTCGGTCCTCATTCATTAAAATGGAAAAGAGTGACTCACACCATCTTATAATTTGTCCTTTTGCATTCCACGGAATAAAGTCACAAGGGTTTCGAATGAGAGTGAAGACTGAATCTTTCATCAGTGTTTTCTATATAATGTGAATGGAAATATGTTGAAGATGCATATGTATGTCATTATTCTGTGATGGTACAGTACTCTCGCACTATGTAATGTTGATAAGTTGAGAAAATCCCTAATCTTTTCCATTCCACCCCAAAATTATATAACTGTTCTGTAATTATGTGACAACAAAAGGCCTGCACATTCGATTATGTAATTATATCCATTTTGTTTTTAACATATGATCTTCATCCTTAATATAGTTCCTTTTTCCTGAAACCTCAAAATGATTTGAAACTTGGAAAAGAGTGACTCACACCATCTTATAATTTGTCCTTTTGCATTCCACGGAATAAAGTCACAAGGGTTTTGAATGAGAGTGAAGACTGAATCTTTCATCAGTGTTTTCTATATAATGTGAATGGAAATATGTTGAAGATGCATATGTATGTCATTATTCTGTGATGGTACAGTACTCTCGCACTATGTAATGTTGATAAGTTGAGAAAATCCCTAATCTTTTCCATTCCACCCCAAAATTATATAACTGTTCTGTAATTATGTGACAACAAAAGGCCTGCACATTCGATTATGTAATTATATCCATTTTGTTTTTAACATATGATCTTCATCCTTAATATAGTTCCTTTTTCCTGAAACCTCAAAATGATTTGAAACTTAATAGCACTCGCAGTAACAACTGTGAGATTGTGTTTTTCATTTTGCTTTTTGATGTCACGTCTAAACAATTTTTAAGGTTACCAGAAACCATCGTAAGAGAATGCTTGCACATTTATTTTAATTTCTGCATCATCATCATCTGCAGGAGTTAAGGAAGAACCGAACCCCTTCCACCACGTCTGAGGACTCCTCAAAGTTCCAGAGCACTGGTTCATTGGACCGCGACCCCTCAGAGGTGGAGCTCTCCTCGTCCCCATCTGCCAGAGACTTCCTGTCCCGCATGGACTCCAAACGCAAAGGGAAGAACCTCAATCCATTCTCCTCCAATTCAAGCCAGAAAGGCCAGAACAGTGAGGCACAGAGCCAGGTCCCCAGCCGCCTGCTACAGCTGGCCAAACCCAAGGAGAAGGACAAGAAGAAGAAGAAGGGAAAAGGGCAGCAGAGCCAGGCTGCAGGTAGAGTGTAGATCATCATCACATCACATCTGCTTTAATATTCAACATGAAATCAAACAGGCACCTTTCTCAGTTAATCCCTAGCTAATCTGTACACGTTACTCTATTAAATGCTTGATTTCAATAAACGGTTACTTTCTCTGGTCCCAAAACTGCTTTTATGCTGATTTAGTGGCACTGATTTAGAGGTTGATGAGAAATATTGAACAAAATTATTATTCAGTGCTCTGTAATACTTGATTTTAACTGGTCAATTACATAATCCTGCAAGCCAGTATCTTCATGTTATTACCACTAAACCATTTTCCCAGGCACCCATTTTTCTCTATAACTGTGATAGTTGCATGTCTCTCAATGCATTTTATTTTTTGTATGATTTTTCATTATTTTTTTCTTTCCTTTTTCTTATTTATGGATTTTTATTTTTGTATGATTAATTATTTGTTTGATTGTCTCGTTTTCTTATTAAATTTTTGTCTGAAGGTTGTATTAGTAACATTGTATAGATTTCTATAGATGTTTATATTTTTATATGAAGATTTCTTTTTTTAATTATTCTTATTTAAAAAAAAAATTTTTTTTTGATTTTAGATATTTTTTCCTTTTGTATGAAGATTCTTTATAAATGTATATTTGTTTGATTTCTTTCATATTTTCATATGTATTTATGAAAATTTTACACAGATTTTAATTTTTGTATGAAGATTGATTGATTTATCCATCCATCCTTTTTATTGTTTATTTCATTTTATATATATTTTATTTTTGTATGGAGATTATTTTGTGATTTTTATATATATATATATATATATATATATATATATATATATATATATATATATATTGTAGGA